TTATAAATCGAAGTTGTTCCGTTAGAATGACTATTCGAAAGTTAATTTGTGATTGTATCGCGATATAATTAGTTCGACAATGTTTTCTCTAGATTGATTCGAATGTGATCTTATAGAGTGAAACGCTCTTAATACTGAATTTTAATACTGCTTTTTCGTCATATTTCCTTTTCTGTGAATTAAGTATCTCGATTATTCGAAATAGATAAATGATCATGCTCGTTCGGACGATAGCATACGCGCGAAGCTAGACGAATTTCTTCAATGAAGTGTAACGCTTGTGCTATCGATCCCAATCAAAATGCTCGGTCCCTGATCTCTTTCTTTCGCAATTGCTGGCATTACGAAAATGTTTTAACAAACATCTTTATTCGAGTGTATATTACAATAGAAATCGTACCGAGCCAGTTGAAACAACTCAATTACCTCCGCCGTCATAAAGCGATACACAATAGCCTCGTTTAGCGTTCGGTACTTCTAGTGTTAAACCGGTTAGACTCGTTTCCTCGGTAATCAGTCGGATAATCCCGCCGTTTAATTCCGTCGAAGAGGATTTTTGACCCGTTTCTGCTCGTCCCATCAAACGAACGTAACGGAGTAACTCACTTAACATAGTTCCCTTTGTCGATGTCGGATACGTTCCGTGGCGAAGTGTCTCCGTTAAATCGCATCGTTCCGCGCGTCGAGTGTAAAGTTCGGTTTTCTTTTCATCGTCGCAGCATCCACGGGCATCATCCACGGCGCATTCATTCGTCCCGAGTTATTCTTGTTTGCTCGTTTATCGACGTTCGTCTCATCGTTTGATCACGGGTCGGGGATACGGCCGACACAATTCCGCCGAAAGCGGCGTCAAACTGTCGGACTTGAATATCAAAGCTCGAAGAAAATATCGAGTTGGCCCGGGGAGCTCCTCTAAGCGCGCGACTCGATCTTAATTCCGTTAATTGCCCGGACGAATTTCTCTCTCGCGAAGATCAACAAGACGTTCCCGTGTTCTGTTCCCGCCGGTAATAATCTTGCGTTAGGAAATTTATTCGTTTCAATTAAGACCGGAGTTGTGATTTTTGCAAGGGAGGATCGCGCTGGCGAGGACAGAGAGAGAGAGAGCTCGACCCGTCGCATCGGTCCCGGATATTGCTCGCGCGACCATCCTCGCCGGTTAAAATATTTCCTCGTTAAAACCGTTTCAACTTTCCTCTTTTTCGCTATCCCCCGCCCCGCGCCCCGCTCTCCCTCCGCACGCAGATTAATTAGTACAACGTCGTTCGCCGAAAGAATGGGACGGAGAGGCCGGCTTAATTACAATTCCAAGACACCGTAAGTTTCGTAATAACTGGGAGCCGCAGCGGCGGCGTATAAGTAATGAATCCAGATGTCGTCGTCGCCGTCGAATCTCGGATCGAAAAATGACGAGCCAAGTTTCGTCGCCTTTGTCACCCTGTCCGGATCCTTTCGCTGATCCCGGAAGAACGAAGGTGTTTTCCCAGCTCTCGCGATTGTTGTCGTAGCTTTCCGAGAAATTGTTATTGCTGCTTGATGAAATGTGAATACATTCTCCAGTCGTTGTATAATAAGCGAGCGAAGTTTGAAATGATAATACCTGCTGTGATTGTGTTGCTGAAAATTCCCTTTAAATTGCTTTGCAATCCGAGCGCGGAGCTAGGCAAACACTTTAGGGTGAAAAGTCGACCGTGGCGCTCTTGGCATTATCGCTGTAACTGTTGGGAAAAGTTGTATTGCTGCTCGAAAAAATTTGAGTGTATACTTCAAATGTCGCCGAATAAGCGCGCAGAGTTTTGAATTATAATGCTCGACAGGTTTCTTTTGGAAAATGCTCGAAAGGCACCGTGGAATCTGAGCCTGAAACTGGGATTGTAATAATGATGATCCTATTATACTATATATATATATATATATACATTTGATATATTCTTCGATAAATTATAATATAAAGAATTAGCCCCGTAATTAGAATCAAAATTAATACGATGTAATATTAAAAAATGATGTATTATTATTATATGAATAAGACATGTTATATAGAAATAATTCTTGGTACTACACGTAATCCATGAAATATTATTGCAGTAAAAAACAGAAAGATAAATTCTATCATTAAAAATAATATTAATTTATTTGTAAACAAGGAATGTAATCTTCTGATATAATAATCACGAGTAATATAATATATGATTCTTTTTCACTATTAACAGACGGTGACTTCATGTAATGGATACTGGCGCTGTAACTTTGAGAAAAACGATTATTAATGCGCAAAAAATTCTGTCTACATTCTCCAAACGTTATTCGATACATTCGCAAAGCTTTGAGTTATAATATTTCCTACACTTCCGTAAACAAAAATGCCGATAGCTCGCCTTGTAATCTGAGCACAGAGTAAGAATTGCAGATTCCGATATTCGTATAACCAGTGCCGTAACATTCGGGAAAGCGACAATTATTTCGCGGAAAAAATTTGAGCACGTCCTCGAAACGTTGTCTGACAAGCGTACAAAGTTCGGAACGGCAACTCTCTGCAGGTTTCTTTGAAAAAAATCTCGAAAAATCGCTCTGTAATTCGAGCGTGAAGGTACGCGCGTGCCCCTTGAAATATCGGTTCCGGCGGAATTTTCGAAAAAGCTCGCGAGCCAATGGGATCCGTGTTAAGCGTCGCGGGCTCGACGCGACCTAATTTCCAACGAGGTTCCCTCGACGAGGAAATAAGAGCGCCGGCCGAGAGAGGAACGAGCGAAAAAAGAAAACGATCGTACGAACGAGTTCGGGCTACAAAGCGAAAAGTAAAACACTCTCTGGCAGGCAGAAGTTAATGTTTAATTTAAGATAGAGCACTGACTCTTCGTTTGCCGTCCCTCCGGCAGCTCCCGGGCAAGTTATACCCGCGGCTGCCTCTCCTCGAATCGATTGGATTCTCGGCCGGCTAACGTCGAACGAGTTTCGGGACCCGTTCGGGCGAAATTAATTTTTTCTGCTCGAGGAGTTCCACCGCATCGTCCGAGCCAAGAATCTCCGGCCCCGCCTGTTCCCTATTTGCTTTGTTATCGTTGTTATTGGGCGTAGACGATTGATTCGCCAACTTCTTACCCGATCGATCGCCGAATCGCTTCGGATCCACGTTTCAGGATCTTGACGGACAATCTCGAACGTATCTCGAACATTTTGTCGAAGCGTTCTGCAATTCGTTAACACGATTTACGGGTAGAAATGTATTCTGTTGTGCGACATCGAAGGGCGGATGATCAATCCGTGCGTAGCATTTGTCGATGCCAAGATGCCTCGGCAGCACTTCTGCAACAGTATCGGCTACACACACACACATACACACCTGGATACGACGAATTAGAAACGTATCAATCATTCACGGACAGCCCGTGACAGGATCGAACAAACTGTAATCTGATTACACGGCGAGAGCGACGATTAAAATGTAACCGATGATTCGATCACGAGCTGCTCCCGGCAAATTGTTACTTCGGGTCTGCAATTAACTCGGTTATAATTGTTGGCCAGTGACAAACTACGACTGCGGAAAGTCTCTCGTAATCGAATTAACTGCGCGCGCGCGCTCTCTCTGTTCGATCGTCCATCAATCTTTAAAATCAAGAATCCCGAGGCCGATGAAAATGTCTGTCCGAGCGCATAATCGCGCGGGTTAAAAATAAGTTTCGGAATTTCTGTGCGAGTTCAGCTACTTTGCCGGGCTTTTCCGACCATCTCCGGGGGAACCGTGCGGGTATAAAAATTCCCAGTTCAGCAGTCGGATAACAGTTTACGGGACTCCGGTCTGTGATTAGCGCGCGTTTCCCGTGGAGAGGCTAGGCTCGCGGTTCAGGAGGAAGGTGACACGGTTGCGAGGAGTCCTCCGGTCGTTGTTGCAGCAACGATTCCAGACCCGAGCGTTATCGTCGGTTTGCCAACCATAGGACTTCCCATTGCTCCCTGCGGTGTAACGCGAGCTTTCCATTCTTGCGCGATAATCTCGTTGTCGAGCCTTCCGACTCCCGCGTTGCGCCGAATTTCTCGATGGGATTTTGCGGTCTTCGCAGGTAGGCATTGCCGACGCCCCCCCTCACGGCAATTATTACGCATGGAATACGAGCCTTTCGGGAGCTTGCCAAAGGAAACAACTTGCCGAACTTGCCGCCGCGAGCTCGCGCGTGTCTTTCGGCCCGTTCGGCCCGGCTGATTAATTCCCCGATGAAATTAGACCGCGGGCAAAGAAACTTTTACTCAAGCGGTTTAATTATCCCGCCGTTAGATAACGTCGGAGGTGCGTGCCGGGCTTACCTATCGTCTTCGAAGGATCGATAGCGGGCTTGGCCCAAGATGGCACTTGCATTGCTCGGAATGCGAACCTAAAGGACTCGGCGTAAAAATCTAAGAAAATTACTCGATGTTCAGCTTCGTGTCAGAAGTGTGTCAGATTTAATTCAGATTTTTTCGGTGCGAAATGCTAGAAAAATTGGGCTGAGAAGATTCGATTTTTCCATGCTGCTAGTTTCGCGATTTAATTAGCCCGCTCTCGTTTTGAATTATTTATGATCGAAATTTGCATCCTAGAAATCTAAAAAAATTACCCGCTGTCGAGCTGTGCGTCAAAAACGTATCAGATTTTTCGCAGAATTTCCCCGTGCGAACTGTTCCGGGAATAATGCTCGGAAGACTCGATTTTTCCATGCAGCTACTTTCGCGATTTAATCGGACACCGTTCTCGTGTTTAATTATTTATGATCAGGATTCGGAAGCTAAAAATCGGGAAAAATTGCCCCTCCCCTTGGTGTCGCAAACGTGTCGTAAATTCTCCCGAGTATTTCAAATCGGGTACGAGAAGCGACGACTACGTTAATTTGCGCGAGGCTTCGAGCCGTTTAAATTGCGTTGGGCGCGTCTAGCTCCGAAATTCGCAACGCGGCAAGAAAGCCTATTTGTCATCGGCAACGGCCGGCCGACCCCGGTTAATAATAATTATTTTGCTGTTCCAGTGGCTTGTTCAACGGTGACAGTGACAAAGTGTCAGGCGGCCGTGAACACTCTGCAGGCTTTCACTTACTTCCGACCCACGTGCCTCTGCAGGGAGCGCCACGTAGATCCAGATTGCAACAGCTTCCGGGAATTCCTCTATGACCATCCCTGCAACTTCGTCTCGAAGAACGGTAAGTTTCCCCCCGGACGATGAAAATTCTTTTTATCCGTTCTCGAGCACTTCTGCCAAGCGGTCGCAACTTTTCCGGCGACTTCCCGAGGATCCCGCTCAACTACCCGCCTTTGCCTCACTCTGTACATCAAATTAGAGGGTTCGCATTATCTTTTTTTGAACGGTGTTCCACCTCCCGGAGCATTCCGGGAACTTCCCCGAATAACATTCGAAGAATGCGGTGCTGATTCTGATACGTGTCGCTCGAGGAGTCGCTTTTAGGAACCGGTTCCAAAGACTCTGCGTGCCGCTTACTTAACGCGTTCCTCGTGTGTCGAATTGACGCTATTGTAAAAAGATGATATAACAGGAGGCAAACACATTCGTTTATCGAATATCTTTTTTCGAGTGATAAAGGAAAACATATTTAAGCAATGTTCTCCGGACAAACTGCTTTTTCACACTTGTCACTGCGTCTACTGTGACTACTGTGTATTCTTGATTTGTTATCGTTCTTATCTATTGAAAGTTATTCATTCCGAACTATTATTAGGTCGTTAACCCTTTCGCTACGGGCGGATTTTCCGCCGCGGTACTTCTGCTGGACGGCGCGCTGCGACATCGCTGCACGCTACAAGACGCCGATCGTTGCGGGGGTACCGCAGCGGAGAACCCGCCCGTAGCAAAAGGCTTAATCCGAATGAAGTTAAGCAAAATTGAAAAAAATAAGGCATATCTATTTATCCGTTGTTGAGAGAAAAATAAGGTGAATTAGCTTTCTGCAGTAAGCACTGACTTTATTCGCTACAAACGATCGAACTTATGGAGGGCCACTATAGTGGCCCTTAGTACCTCGATGGCATCTTATGGAG